TCAGTCAAGAGCCCCAGGGAGGATTAAATAACTTGCAGAGGAGATAGGTACTTGAGCAGGGCTCAGAAGAGGGCAGAAGTAAGGAAAGTCACAGGGGAGATTCTTTGCCAGCAGGAGGGTGAAGGCATGGAGTTGAAATGTAGGGACGGGGTGTCAGAGAGGGGGACCTTCCCTTCTCCCTCTGCCGCTTTCTTGCTGTGTCAGTGAACCTCTCCAGCCCTGTTTCCTCATCAGTAAGATAAGGGCATCGTCATCTGCACCAGTGACCTTGCAGGGGGCCATAAGCGTGAAATGAAACGACATGTGTCAGCACTTGGCAGAGTGTGGAGGGCTGCAGCTCTGGGCAGTGATACTATCACAGGCAGCTTTGATAGCTCAGGGACAGGGCCAATCAAAGAACCAGGGGCTGGGAAGATGCGGGGTTGGGATTGGCTATGACAGATCTATAACAGGGTCCCTTCCCCACATCTTTGAGTCACTGATTCTGAAGAGTGGATTTCCTTCCTGCCTGGGGGACCAAGGGCTGAGGTTGAGATTAGGCGCTCTCTTTACTCCCTACTGTGTGGTTAAATCTCATTTCCGGTGGCATCTGGAGGAATGACTCCTCTCTGCCAGCCCCATCCTGAATGCGTGTGTAGCACTGGGCTCTGTTCTGTGGGGGCGCTATTTAGAGCCTTGCCTTGCAGGCAGAGAGCCGGACCCAGAGATTGTGCAACCTCTTAAACAGTATGTTTAATCTGAGATTGGCACCAAGTTTTAAAATTTCATTTTGTTCCTCTGACCAGCTAAATAGGACAGAGAAGTTTGGGGATCGGGGGAGATAAGTATCCACTTACTTTTGTGCTCTGACATTGACACCCTCACTCACACGCTCCTGTGATGCAGTTAAACAAAGGACATACCACGTTGGCAGTCCTGGCTCCTGTGGTATATGGCACAGAAATGCGCTGAGCTGGAGCCTTTCTTCTGTAAGTGCCATGTGCTGTAGGGTTAGAACTGGAGAGGAGGGAGGCAGGTGGTGGACACGGCTCAGCCTCAGCAGGAGTGAGTTGAGCGTTCCTGATTTAAAGAGCCATTCTAGAAGTAGCACAGCATTTGTTTCTCCCATTCCATCGTTGCGCAGCTGACTATTCAGTCTGTTCCAAACCACTCCAAGAAGAAAGTGGAGGCTCCTGAGCCTTTGGTACCCAGATGCCAGGCTACTCAAGTAGGCACAAGTGTCAGTACTTCCGGGTCCTTGGCAAAGCCAAATCCTGTCCAGGGAATTTCCAGGCACATCCCACGCCAGGCCCCCATGAGGCTGCAGGGTCCCTTCCCCACATCTTTGAGTCTCTGATTCTGAAGAGGGGATTTCTTTCCTGTCCAGGGGACAGAGGGCTGGGGTTGAGATTAGGCACTCTCTTTACTCCCTACTGTGTGGTTAAATCTCATTTCCGGTGGCGTCTGGAGGAATGACTCCCCTCTGCCCGTGCCATCCTGAATGCGTGTGTAGGACTGGGCTCTGTCCTGTGGGGCTCCTATTGGGAGCCTTGCCTTGCAAGAGAGAGCACTTCTGGCTGGGAGAGAACACACATCTGTGGTTTGAAGCCCCCCAGTTTTGTGGTCATCTGTAATAGCATCCCTGGGAACCTAATGCAGAGAACAAGGAAGGAGTCAGATAGGTGGAAGTCTGGAGCAACTGGAGGTGGGCAGTGCATTTAAGGGACACGGGAGGACAGACAGCCCTATTGAGCTATAGACTCCAGAATGTTCTAAAAGAACTGTGGCTGAGCATTGTCTGCAGTGCCCTGGGAATGTGAGCCTCCTTGTCTCCATCAAGACTTCAGCAAGGCTGCTGTGGGGCCCTGGTGTGTCATCTAAACTCACTGACCCAAAAAGAAAGAGGATCTGAACGGGCCCGTTTGTACCCTCCTGGGTCTGTCCCGGACTTTATTCCCAATGACCAGTTTGAAGATTTTATTAGAAATCAGAGTTGTGCTTTTTTTTTTTTTAGAAATGTGCTTGGCTGCAGCGACTCATGTCTCTGCCTCCTGTAATGAGTTGAGCTATAAGAGTCCTTGAACAGAGACTGAGTTTGAACTGATCAATGGCATTTGGGGGTTGGAAATTGCTCAGGAGCCAGCTAATTTATAATGTCATATGGGCTAGACTGGAAGACCCAAGAGAGTAGGCTGTCTCTGGCTTTGTATGTCTCCTGTTCTAAAAAGAAAAGAAAACACAAAGTGCCACGCTTGGCTGTTGAGCATTCAGAGACGGACACTGCCCCTGCTAGACCATCTGGAGATGGGGACTGTTCCTTCTCCCACTCCCTCCCTCCTGAGACCTTAGCAGCCACACTGTGGCATGGCAGCGCATGCCACCGCCTCTGTCCTCACCCTTGTCACTCCGAATGCCTGCTCCTGCAGTTGCTGAGTTCTGGCTCTAACTAATTTGCAGAGGACACCTGTTCCTTAATTAGCCCCAGCTCACAGTCTGCATCTTCATCTGGGCGCTCTGATGCGTGAGCTCATGGCCCCATAGAAGGGCTGCTGTTTGGCAGTCTGTGCGTGTTTGCTGTGACTGAGTGGGCCCTGAGCCTTCCCAAGCCTTGTGGTCGGTCTGTACTCCTGAACATGAAAAGAAAAGTCACATTTCAACCACATCCAGCTATGGATGTCACAGCCATTGGCCAGATCTTCCAGAAGAGTCCTTCGCTGCCAGTTCCCATGCTGAGGACAGACCTGCTGTCCCCAGAACTGGGTCTGAGAACACTAAGCGGGTGTGAGCCCTCATTCCAACTCCTCTAGATTCATATTCCTGGTCACTCAAGTGGCACCTCATACATGCCACTTACAATATCTTTTGGAGGCACATCTGATTAAATAGAGGGATGCTGTTAGCAGCTGGAATTCATCCATACAGGGTTTTAACAGAATAGGGCCTTGTGTGTCCTAGGATCTTGACAAGCATCTGCCAAGGACAAGGACAAAGGGGCCCTGGGATGGGACCCAGGCAGCCTGCAGGAGCATTCTCTGCCTGCCTTCGGGGGTGGTTCTGCTGCCCCTCTGTTTTTACGGTGTAGAACCTTCTAAAAACCAGTCTTTAGGCTTCTGAGGTGAGTTCTGACCTCCCACATAAGCACCTCACGATCTCCAGCCTCCACAGCTGGAGGACGGTGATTTCAGCCAGAGGCATCACAGGTCAGAGGCAAACTACCCAAATACCCAGGCACACCAGGAGTCCAGTTTCCGGCAGACCACAGTTACCTGGAAACGTTTGTGGCAGGTCGCTCTGTGTTTATGCATTCTTCTACCTGACATCTCTCTCTTCATCCTTCAAAAGAAATTCATCAGTGGAAAGTTTCCCTGAAGTGGTAATTTTCCTAAATGACTTACTGATGGTGCTGCGTGCAGACCTGCTCTGCCAGAGTTGGTGTTTTGCATGCGTTACTGTGACCCCAGCTCCTCTCCCTGGGCTGAGGGGATGGCGGAGGCTGTCCATTGCTTTTGCGAGGAGAGCCCTTTCCTCTGCCTTCCCCTGCCCAGTCCCCACAACCTGATAGAAAGGCTGCTTTCTTCTCTCCTGAGCGGAAGCAGGGCCATCTGAGGCCCCCAGCAGAAAGCTCTTCTTTCCAGAGCCTTCCTCGCCTGGTGACTGCCAGGTCGCCTTCTCCAGCCCAGCTAATTAGAGCCTTTCCTTAAGCAGCATTCAATCCTCCGAGTCACTCATCCTCACAGTGATAATGGGCTTGGATAAGAGGTCACAGCTTCTTCCACATCCTGCCCTCCTTATGGCCAGAGGTGGGGGGTGGGACAGGCTCAGCCCCCCTTCTGTGGGGCACCCGCCTGCCCGTCACAGGGGCTGGCTGAGAGCTGAGCAGCTGTGATGGATTCACCCAGATGACAAAACCAGAGCCTGACTCCCCAAGCGGGCCCTCTCCCCACATTCATTCAGGCTTCCGAGCTGCCTGCTGCATCTCTGGTGAGTGTCATTAGCATTAACGTGGTGAATGGCACTGTGTAAATGTTAATAAGGTCTGATGCCTCACGCTGCTTCCGAGTGGCAGATTGGAAATGGTACCATCATCTTAACTGCAACGAGCAGCTCTTAATTCCTCTACTCCCCGAGCAACCAATTTGGCATGAAAATCCTAACCTTCCCCACACCCCAGTCTCTGCTCTACCACGTTTACCCCCATTTTCTTTTGCAAGGAAGGTTCCCATTTCCCACATACCAGTTTTCTGGGACACAGTTTGACTTTTGTTTTTAACTCAACACTTTCCCCTTTTCTCCAAAGAGAAACGAGAGGACCCATGCCGACCAGCACCCCCTTCTCTGCCTGGGTCCCATCCTCACTCCCGAACTTCTTCGCCCTGGTTTTGCTAGATGCGACTCCTTTCCTTGGTCATCCTGGGTACTTCCAAGGGGCCTGCCCTGCAAGCCAGGGGCTCTTGTTCTCCAGGCTTCTTCTCTCGAAGCTAAAAACGCGGCCGAGGCACATCCCGATCACTCCTCTCCAAGTCCTTCAGAAGGGACATCCTCTCCTGTGAGCCTTTGTCTGGGCTCCTGGGGCCCCTCCACACTGTGTCCTTTCTTCCCAGTAAACAAAGCCAGACACATGGCTGGTGTTTCTTTTGGATCCTTCTTGCTGTTGCATCTCTAGTTCATGCTCATGGGCAGCTTGAGAGTAGGCAACCGTGGATCTTCAATCCGTGTTTGCTGAAGAGAGCAGGATGCATGGGGTCCCTGGGATGACACCTGGGCCTTGCCTAGGAGGCACAGGATTGTCGGAACAGTACATATGAGCAGCAGCAGAGAAGCATGGCTCTGGAGCTCTTGTTCCACCCCTGGCACTGGCACTGACCCAAGGTGACCCCAGGGAGCCCCTGCCAGTCCAGGTGTGCCCAAGTCAGGCCCAGCCTTAGCTGTGGGTAGAGGCCGCGTGAGCAGCAGCATCCTCCACGTGCAGACGGTCTGCTGGTATGGCCTGCGCCCCCCTTACTCTTGTTTCCATCCCCCAGGCGATCTTCACTCTCCTCCTTGGACCGTTCACCTTCTTTGACGTCCAGAAGACCAAGTACCTGCAGATCCTGACCTCTCTAATGAGATGGATCGGTGAGTCTGAGAAACATCTCAAGTCTCTGCCCTTTCCCCTCTCCTCCCTTCCATCACCTTTCGTGAGAGCCCATGCAGGGCCCCCAGCCATAGCTGGAGTGTGGTATTGGTTCTGTTGACTCAGGCCTGTCTGGTCTTCCCACCTATCCAAAGGACAAGGAGAGGGCAGGCACTCAGCTTGCCTTGTACTGCTGGGGAAATTTGGCACAAAAAAAGGTGATTTTTTGAAGGTCATATAGTATGGCTGGAGCTGGGGCTAGAGCCCAGGCCTGTTGATTCTAGGACCGGCTTCTTTCTCATACAACCATCCTGGGTGCCCTCTGACCCACAGGCTGGCAGGGGGGCTCTGAAAGGCCTGGGTTGGACTGTGCCCTGCAGGGCATGGTGGCGTCATAGCTCTGCATTCTCATGAGTGTGCTATGTGGCATAACCATAAAAGCCAGTGGGCCTTGGCAACAGCCACTCTCTGCCTCTGAGTCTCTGGCCACCAGGGCATGAAAAGACACCTCCTCCACGGCGTCTTCTAACTGACAGACACCCTGCTGAGCACGAGCGCCATTGTCCTCAGCTGCAGTCTTGGGGTCTGTTCCCGAAAACCAGGTTGGTGGTGGGGGGCTGGTCCACTTCTGCCACACCATCCTGCCACCCACCTCAGGGAAAGGGCCAGCTGCCGATCCACCTGGACGGAGGACAGGAACCGGTGGGGCCCTCTTTGGCCAGCACCACTCTAGGTGTTCTTTGGACGCTTCTGCTTAATCTAAAAGCAACGAAGGCTGTTGCTGTTCTGATAGAGGGTCCTGGAAGAGTGGGTGTGTCCAGGCTCCAGAAGCTTGCCTGCCTCTCAGCACAGAGGCTCTAGAGGAGCCAAGGTTGGGGCTTCTCCTTCCTGACCACCTTCCCCAGCCCCCTTTCCCACTGTGCTCGCCCCTTCTACCCTCCTCCAGACTCTGGGGGTGCATGCTGATCCTGATTCCATGCCAGGACTCAGCAGTGGGTCATGGTTGCTGAGGACACTTTCCTGTCTAAATGACTTCCAGCAGCTCGGCATCTGCAATTCCCCTGGTTCCCCAGACTCAGGGCATTATAAGATGTCAGTGTAAGGAGCCTCCGCACATGGGAATCTTGGCATCGTTAGTTGGAAGGGGCCACAGCAGTCAGGTAGCCCTGCCCCGCCCCTCTAGGAGCAGGCTGTACAGCACAGGGGACAGGGTGGCCTCTGGGTCCCAGAGCTCACAACTGGGTGAGGCTCCCACTCCACTCTGAGGGGTTTATGTCAGTGCTGGAAAGTTTTTCCTTGTCTTGAGCCAAACTCACCAGCCTGTAACTTCTTTGCACTCTTGGTTTGTCCTTGCAAGGAAATGAGAGCAGGACAGAGATGAGCTGTGAGGCCCCCGCAGGGGCACATCATCTGGGCTGAGCCCGTCCTTGGCCATCCAGATGACACAAGGAAGCAGGAGGACATTTGTCCATCCCTGGACCGGGCGGAAGGCTGCATCTGCCCCATTCAGTCTATCTGGTCATGTACTTACCAGTGAGTGCTGTTCCCACATTTCACTCACAAGTTCCAAAGCCCCAGGTTAATTTAACATGACTACCTGGGGGAAGATGAGAATTGTTACTTTGGACCTGGGGATCCCACTGGCTCCAAGGACAGATTTAGAATGGAGCCTCCCCGGGTGCCAGGAGGGATTATGTCCAGAAGTCAGAGTCAGCAGGGATCAGAAACACCAGGGCTCAGCCGCCTGCCCTTCCTATTTCTCTGCTTACATGAAGTATTTGAAAGCTCTGGGTAAGGCCAAGTGGGTAAGACCTGGTAGTCTCAGAAGAAGCTTTCTCAGTAAGGCAGGTTTGGAGAAAACCATTCTCCCTCCTTACCTTCCTGGCCTAAGTCTGGTGCTCCAGCTCCTGTGGCTTCCCGCAGCCGTGTCTGTAGCCCCAAGATCTGGCCCCTACCCTGCATGGGGACTGGCTGCACTTGACCTGCCCCTCAGCAGCAGGGAGGGGGAAGGGCCCCTTGGACACTGGCGTGGAGAAAGCTGAACTGATTCCCGTCTCCTTTTCCTCATCTAGGAGTAAGGGAACGGTCTGGGGAGAGATAGAGAGGACATTCCTGCTTTAGCCAGTGTGACAGCCCAAGAGGGGATGACACCCAGGATAGTGACAGTTAATGGCTTCCGAAGACTCCTGCACTTGTTTAGCGCGACAGATTCCTCCCTGTGTCTGGGAGAAGATAGTGAAAAGGAGAAGAGGAGGCTGAGGGCAAATAAAGAGTGATTGTCTCTGAGCAGGAGGCCAGCTGTACCCCTGCGTCGGTCAGAGGAGGAGCCAAGCTCTGTGGCCAGCAGGGCCCGGGGTCCTGGAAGGCGGCAGGGGACAGCCCGGGCCCCTTGCCATTCTGCGGTTGGAGACCCTCCTTCCCCGGAGTCAGGCTCACAGTAGACTTGACAGTTGCTTTAGAAAGTCGACTGCTATTTCCCCCAGCCTCTTCCCACCCCCAGGTCTCCCACCCGAGGCTTCTGGGCCCCTGCAGTGCTGCGGAGCAGGTGACAGTGGCCTCAAGAGAGGCTCTTGGCAGCATCAGGAGCCGGAGGTGGAGACCAGCTCGTGAAGGTCGACAGCACTTGTTTTTTTGGTGATGACATTGTTGTCTTGACATTGTTGTCTTAGCAAGTCATCCGCCTCTCTTTTCCTTTGATCCAAGAGATAATCAAATGTCAGGAGCCTCTCTGGTGAACCTTTTCTCCAGATGCTGCTGGGGGCGACAGCACAGGAGTGATTTTTCTCCATGAGAGACTCAGACCTCTGGGCTTAAAAAGCAAACCTTTCCATGACACAGCCCTCTCGCCAGAAGAAACATTGTCCAGTTAAGTACACTCTGAAATGCAGCCAGGTCTAGGGTTCTGTTCCCAGCAGCCAGCAGCACTGGGGCCACTGGGGCGTTTTTCTTCCCAGCTCTGGAGGCAGGTGTGTTCCCCTCCCAACCCTAGACAGCAGCGAGGCTCAGGAGGGGATGATGGGGATGGAGGTCGGAGGTCCCCTGGAGCCACCAAGCCACACAGAGCTGGCAGCCCTGCTTGGGGGAGGGACCCCATGAGGGTTTCTCACCTCTGGGCCAAACTCAGGCAGTTTTTTGAGAACCACCCTAAAGGCGGTGGACCTCAGAAGCCTGTTTGTCCTCTCAAGTCTGTGCCAAGTTGTCAGTTCGCCACAGACTCCCTTTTCTTTCTGTCTTAAAAGCAGCTATGACCGAGTCCCGCACACCCCTCCCTCCTTCCCACACTCCTGCCGTACCCCTTCCTCTCCCCTCTCTCCTCTCCCGTCTCCCCAGATGAGGCCATGCTTTCCCAAAAGCAGAGTCGGGAGCTCAGGGTTGGCAATAAGCTGGCTTGGGTTCCAGGAAGACAAAGGGGAAGAATGAGCACCAAAGGGACCGGAAAATCATAAATAAATGTGCTGAGCCGGAAACTTTCTTGGGCTTAATTAGGAATTAGTTCTGCCATCTGTTGAAAGGAGGCCGGAAGAGACAGCGGCCCGGGAGCTGTGCTGAGGAGCCTTCGGGCCACCTCCTCTGAGGGGCTCTGCTCTGCCCTCCTCCCCTCTAGTAGCCTCGGAAGCCCTCTCATTCTGCCAGAATGGCACTGAAAGGGTTAAATGGCCTTTGTAAATATCACTTGTCCAGGAACTCAAAGCATGGATGACATGCAATCATGTCTGCTCATTTCTTTTGCTCCCCAAATAAGTTCTGGGGAGACTGGACTGGTCAGTGTGGAATGCCTGGGTGGCAGATACCTCGGAATCCACACGGGGAAGGAGGGTCTCAGTGTCCTGTCCCTAGCAGTGAGGCCATTGTACTTCCTGGCCAGCTCACCCCCAGGCGGCCGCCACAGGGTCCTGAGCAGTCAGGTCTCCAGTAGCTGCTCTGCATCAGGTGGCGCACCTACTGGAGGTCACGCCGGACCTCCCTGCCTTGTTCCTCACCGTGTGGGACAAGTGGTGTTTACTCCCAGTGTTCGCAGATGGACCAAGCCTCCTCCGCCAGGCTCCTTGTCTGTGCAGTGGCAGCGAGGCCTTGAATGGAACCATGTTGTTAGCACAGCACCTGTGCAGTGTACAGAGGGGAGCCACGGTGAACGTGGCTGTCTTCAGAGTCATCTTGGTCAGCTGCCACATCCCAAGAGTGGCCCTCTCTGGATGCTGGCCGTGAGACCAGGGACATGACCACAGGCATCTCAAGAGAGCATGGCACTGGGTGTCCACACTGGTGTCACAGTGAGATCTGGAAGCACCCAGGTTGGCTCTGGGTAGCCTCCCCTCTGCCACATCCCAGCTGTGGTGCCTGGAGAGGAACCCTTTTTCTACTCCACAGGCCCTAGCATCTACTCTGATCCACTTTAGGGAAGCTCTGAGCTGGGAGAATGAAAGGCAGGCCCATCTCACAGAGGAGCAGGGGCTCTAGCTTCTGTCGGCCGCAGGTAGACCAGGGATGCTGAGGGGAGACGCAGCGCAGGGGCTCGGAGCCCAAGCCTGAGCACCTACACCGATGGCTGGAGGCCCACCCCTGCCACAGGGAGCTCTCTGGCTGGAAGAGGCTGAGGCAGCTTCATGACTTCAGTCCTATTATCAACTTTCCCCGCAGATGCCTGCAGATGCCTCCCAGGAACAGCTTGCTCAGCACAGGGTTCCCCACTTGGGGTTATTAAAAACTCAATCCTTTCTAATAAAGGCTGCTCTGGAGCGCCACAGCCTTCCTTGGGCCTGGGCAGCCAAGGACCGCAGGGTTCCCTTCCCTCTCATTGTATATGCAGAGCAGATGCCGCACACACTCTTCCCGAGTCTGTGTTCCCCTCAAAGTGGGTCAGACGCTGTCCTCTCCAGGCGTTTGTGGATGAACTTGAGCCTGCCTCATGAAGTTCTCGGCCCCACTCTCCCCACCTCCCCTAGCAACTGCCCCAGATTTGTTTTCCAAGCTGACAGGGAGAGGTGGAACATGGTAGTTGTGG